GGTGTAACCGCGAGAGACATAAATAAGTTTATGTGTCAGAACATGTTTGATTCTGAACTGATTGTTTGGAAAGTATATTGTTCGTTTGAGAATTATACACTCACTAGACCTTTTTGGTCTAACGCTCAGTTGTTGGACTAACCTGTTTTGCAGGTCATCATACCTCGCAGGATAAAGGAAAGGGAAAAGTTTAGAATGAATGACGTTTAGTTAATTAAAATGTATTATAAGAAAGTATTTTGTTAATCTGTATTTTGTAAACGATGTTATATTTTATGTTATGAGTATGATGATGTGGATTATCGGTACATAGAATATGTGGGTTATTACATCTGCACACGGCTGTTACCATGTCTCGCTCTACACTGCCGTGACCAAGCCGGGAGTCCACGCCTTCCCTTTTCTTTCAAGTGCACCCCGGTTGTTGCCGCTCGGAGTAGGAGCCACTGCACTGTTTAGTCCCGTCTTGACCCATCTCCTAGTTCGAGTTTTGGACAGCCCCTAACCCTTCTTTGTGAGTCCACTTTTACCGTTAAAATCATTATACTTATATTAATATTGTGTTTTATGCCTCAAGTCTTAATGCCTAGAAAAAAATAACTATTTTAGATGAATCATATTTTGGTCGAAAGAGATGAACTCGAATGATCCCATTAATGAGGAAAATTGGATTGGGTAGATGTTTTGATCACTTTAGGTAGAATTACCATTTCTCTAAGCATTATTACACGTTGAATTATAAAAACCTTTCACTAAGTGGCTTGAGGATTCCTTTTGCATGGGAAATGATCATTCCGTTGATTTTCTTCATTAATGGCTATTTTGGTGAAATTCTTGAGTGCAGACCTTGTAATCAATAATATAAACATGGTTAGATGGTATTTTGATTGTTGGAATAAAGATTGAATCCGAAATATGGATTTTAGCCTATTTAGTTGGTGAATTTGACAGCACCAAATCTACCCRAGATGYTGTTTTGAATGTGCGATAACTTCTTAACCGTAGCTCGGATTGCTACGATTCTGGACATTTTAGAAAGCTCATATGTAGATCTAAACCTGTCCTTTAGACACTTTTTAGAAATAAGACTTCTAGGTTGGTTATATTTACGTCTCAAAACTGATAAAAAGCTAATTTTGAGTTGTGAATTATAGTGCCTAAAATGAGTTTAAATTAAGTTTGGTTAAGTTTTGTTGTCGGATCTTTATGAAACTTTGGGTACATATTACAAGTGTTAAATAAGCTCACTTGGTCCTTCCAGAGTGACCGTTGGACGATGTTTAGACGTATATGGACGTAGAGCCTAAGTTGGCTCGATTTTTGAGTATCAAAAAACACTGTGAGATTATGGGGCTACTTAACTTGCTATTTGCTAGACATGTGTTATCTATTTGCTACTTGCTTCCACACTCATCCATGTTACGCTTATGGTACCTTTCCAAGTGTGCCACTCGAATGTAATAGGCCTAGTGGTATGGAGGATCATTCCTTTGTTTTCTTGCGTGAAGGATGGTGTGAAGTGGAGTTAGGCATTGTGATTATTGTGTAAATTCCAAACCACCTTCACGCTCCTACTCGAAAATAGGCATTGTGATTAATATGTAATTTTCGAGGTAAAGAACTTAAGATCACGACCAACTTCATGACTGGCTAGGTTGAGGCCAATGGTATTAAACTTACAAGCGATGCTCTCTAACGTCGAATTATGACTCACTTCGTGCTCCGTCATCTTCGGATGTCTTGACTCTCCCTCGTATTATTTATGACTCATTTTTCTATATATATAAATATCGTACGATACTACGTCATTATTTATATTTATATAGTGCATGTATATCGTTTTATTTTATTCGTGGGAATGATGGTGTAAGTTGGTGATAGGCATTGTGATTAACATGTAATCACCAAATCATCCTCTCACTTCCACTCGGTAATAGGCATTGTGATTATTGTGTAATTACCGAGGTAAAGAGCTTAAGATCACGGTCGACTACATGACTGGCTTAGGTTGATGTTGATGGTATTAAACCTGTGAGTGATGCTCTATAACGTTGATCTATGACTTACTTTGTGTATGTTATAATCAACGGTAAATCGGGTCTCCCCCGTCATCTTCGGATGTTTTATTGTTCCACTTCGAGTTATTCAGGTCTTACGGTCTCTATTCCTGTTTAAAGTTACGTCAACTATTTACATGTATATYTTTATGTATGTTTCTTTRTGTTTACGTAAACTCTTTTATTTGGACTCACTAGGCGTAAGCCTAACCCTCTCTCTTTCTTGTTATAATTACTTTTTAGGTTCCTTTATCGGTGAGGCTCTAATTGGTTGAGAGGAGCGTTGGTTCGTGAAAGACTCTTTTGTAAATATTAGTCTTGTTACTTTTGAACGTTGCGTTTTTTGATGTTACGGTTTTTTGGAGATTGATAGAAATACATGTCGTTAATCTAGAAAAAATCTAGATTAGTAGGTTGTTATTTATCTTCTCAGTAGCGGAAGTGTAAACGCTATACTATTACTTTTGTTGGGTGAAATTTGTTTTTATCTAAGATTCTGGTTTTCGTTGAATGTCTTCGGTTTAAATTATATATTTGTGGGGTGTTACACAATTTAAAGATCAAACTTATAATTTATTAAATGAAAAAAAAAAGTCTTGGTATCAATTTAAAGATCAAACTTGTAATTTATTAAAAGAAAAATTGCTTTCACACTTATTCGATAATTATTAATGTAATCAAATCTCATTTAGTATATACTTAATAGTTTGTGAGTGTGCATCATATCATCTAATATTATATTATAAAAATTTTAACTAAAACTTTTAAAAACCATTTTTTATGTATGAAGTACTGTTTATTGATGCATATTACTTAAAATATAAGATTACAAATAAATTGTACATAAAAATAACAACTTATTAAAGCTTCACGTTTGAATTCGTGTAACTAACTGCAGAAAAAAATAGTCAAATACAAGATAAACATTTCATTTTAAATATAAAAAATCTAAAATATAATTAGGATAATCATTGAGTTATAACAAAATACTTAATCATTATCCTTATAAAAAGTTATCTATACTATCTTATAAAGCAAATTTAACAAAAGTCTTAAAGTCTTAAAATACTAAATGACCAAGATACCATTTATATCACTTTTTTCACTTTTTCATTCCCTCTTCTCTTCACATACACTCACCCTCTCACAACCAATTTTTTTAAAAGTTAATTAATTAACTTTACTTCTTTTACTTTTAAATGTTTCATTTTGAACTTTTATCAAATTAATATACATAATCGTATATAAATTAAAACATGTTTAAAAAATACATTTTTATTTTAACAAGTTACA